CGCATATTACTATGGTAATTACTGGTCAGTCGCGAAAAAGTCGTACACACGCACGCCGGTACATCGCATAAGTGCTGAAATAAATATTGTTCTTTTCGGTGCGAATCACCATATTTAAATTATTTTAGTAAATCTGACATTTACTCTGTAATATAAATTATATTGTTATTTTGTATTATTATTCAGATTATTGTAACTTCTTACGTGTGCGAAGAATATTGTTAAATTATCACAGTGGTTCTATCTGTTAATTTGTGTGTGTAATAATATTATAGTATTTAGGTACAGGTATCAGCTGGCCAGCCGTGCACCGACAAAACTGTGAGTCTTATTTGATGCCTATTATTACTGTTTTACCTATTTTACATATTTAGTTGTTATGCCATAAGGGTTATATTTATTGTTATATTTTGTCGTGTCCTAAGGGCCGTTTAATATTCTATATTATTATATACGAGCTTTACAGCTCAAATAGCTGTTCATATTATAATTATTAGGTCAATCTTGAATTATTGAACATTGTTGTGATTGCATAATATACCTAAATACTTATATTCTGTAATTTCATACAAATGTATTATTTCTATTATACAGCAACTAGCTATTTACCAGCAATCGTGTTATCATTTTTTAATTTTAGTTTAATATTTGTACACACACCCACATAGATACACACTCACACATCCATACACACTAGCACTCTCCGGTCTTGCTCGGCGAACCTGTCCACCTCCGGTGAGTAGCTATACATATATACACAGGTCGGTAGGTGTGTGGGTGCACGCGCGGAGTATCTGGTGACCGGGCATCGCGGACTATCATTGTTCGTTCCCGGCCCGTACAATGATCGTTGCAGCTTTCATGGTTTTCAATATTTCTTTTTATATTTCTATAATCTCCAGTCCCATCTGAGGCAATCGTAAGTTTTTGAGCTTTTGGCAAACCGAATATTTTACAGGTAGTACAAAATACTTTGTCAAGAGATGATGAGTATGATAGCCACGAACGTTTGATAATTTCATCACAAGACCGTGTTTTAAAATAATATTTTTCATGAAAACAACGAACACTGCCATGAGAATCATTTGTTTTTGGAAACTGCCAGTTACTCAACTCCATAGGGGAAGGCTGAAAAAAACACCAAGATTTAAGAAATAACCTTTTAAACCACTGGGTATCAACTTTGGCCATTTACCAGGATCATCATCAAACATTACTGTTGTTTTATCTGTAATAATATATTTTATCTATTATTCTTTAATTTTGTTAAATAACTACTAATTATTACTTAACTTACATAAACAGTAAAGGAACTTTGATAACCAACTAATTAAGTGTTAAATATTTAGTAAATATTTTTAAAAATTTAAGGATTTGTTTCTATTCACCTTCTACGAGTTTAAATCGCAAAAGTTGATAAAAAAACAATACATGTTTCTTTTCACCCCACTCGGAAGGTAAATAGAAACAAAACACTTAAAAAAATATATAAAATCAAGCATTAAATATTAAATGTTATCGATGGTGCTATATTAAAGTACTCGCAAAGACCCATATTTTAAAGTATCACTCATTATTCTATGTAAAATATTTAAGATGCTACAAGCTTTAGAAGTTTATAACTGTTTCTATTCACCACATTTGACGGTAGTTAAACTTTTTAATATAAACTATTTCAATTATTAAAACTACAAAAAAATCTAACCACTAAACTTAATAAAAAAAAAAAAAAATCGATAAAAAATACACAGCTATCTACCTAATTACAAATTTATAAATAATATTTATATTTAAAATTTATACCTGACACCGATGATTCAATATCCAAGCTTGATGATTCAGTTTCAGTACACATATTTCTCAGCATTAAATGACTTAAATCATGAAAAGATTTAGTTGGCGTTCGCGTTGTTTTAACTTCTAACTCAGGCTCTTAAACTATAAAATGTATAATTTTATTATTTAATAAAATAAATATCTTAATAATGTTTATACCTGACACCGATGATTCAATATTCAAGCTTGATGATTCAGTTTCAGTACACATATTTCTCGGCAATAAAAGACTTAAATCTTAAAAATGTAAAACAATTTTTTAATAAACCAACACTGAGCTTTATGACAGTTTGCTAAAAATATCATAATATATAATATATATAAAAAATGATTAACAAAAATATTTAATATATAAACAATTTATTTATAAAAAAAAAGCATTTGCTAAAGCTAATTTTAAATTATATAAAAAATTAATTAAGTTAATGCTGTGAGATAAAGTTTTAACTAGTAATTAACAATAATATTTAATATCTAATATCTATAAATAAAGACAATATTTTATTACTTATAGGATAGTGAAACAAAAAATTTAAAAGGAAAATTTTTTGCCCTCCCCTAGACAAATTTTTGCAAACGCATTGAGTTCAGGTAATTCTTAGAAGATAATTGCACTATTTGCACTTTACTCTTTTTTGTATAGGTAGTATTTGAAATGCTTCTTACAATTATTTTTTACAACTTTGCCATTAATTATGGGTTGATTTACATTAATATATAAATACCAATACCATTTATTTTATACTTAATCTAAACTTAAAAATTAGTTAAATTCCGTTTACCTTAAAATTTGATTAAAATATTTTTCTACTAAATATATATTTTTTAAATTTTGGAAATAAAACAAAAATATACCTGGTGTATTATTAATCGAAGTAGAAGATGTAGTGTCTGAGGTATTACATTGCTGATCAACTTAAATAGTTAAACAATCATAATTTATTAAAATAAAGTAGGTATAGTATACATTTTAGAAGCTTAGTATTTGTTTTTTTTATACATACCAATACAACTCTTTTGTTTTTTATTAAAAAATCTATCCAAGTTTCCTTTTTGTCTTTTATTGCACATTTGTGTTTTTTTTTTTTTACAAGATTCAATATGTCGATTCCAGTTGGTATCATTTTGATTAACACGTTCACGTTTACAATAATCACATAATACAGGTTTCATATTTTAAAAAAAAATTTGATATTTTGTAAGAATTTAATAAATTAAAAGAAATATATAAAATTATGGCTCAATTTGGGATTTCCGTAGTTTTTATAAAAATAGAAAAATATACCGAGCATATTACTTACTAAACATGTATGATAAATTTTATAGTGCCGAGCTTATAATTGTTATTGGATTAGGTAAAACAGAACTAAAATAATTACGACAACACACGCATGTCGATTGTCGATACAGTGACTTGGTAGCATACTAGCATACTGCATATTATATTATATTATACTAATTATAATATTTGTCATGATATTTATGTTGAGATCTTACAATTACACCCACCCGGAGCCGGCTACCCACCACCCACCCATTTCAGACATGAAGCAATTGCTTCAAATAATCCTGTATTCCGCCGCCATAATCTATAGCTTATTTCAAAAATTGGGTCCCAGCAGTGCCACGGTCGCAAACCTCGTGGATTCCCCAAAACCGAATGATCGCAAAGCACGGTAGACCGGAGAGGCCCTCAACTAAGCGCCGAACCGGAAGGGTATAGCCGACGAGTACGATCGGTGACGATTTACAAGTATGGCAATGAACGACGCCGGCGGCACACAGTCGGTCGGGAGGAACCGCACACGCACAGCGGCGAATGAAACCACGACGTCGACGGTAACGGTCTGGCGCGTTAGCACACACGGAGGGTCGACAACTTCCGATCGATATACCACTCTCGACGACGATACGCGCGTAATGGCTAAGAAAAGTGTACAAAATACAACAAACGGAGTCGACGGATGGGTCCGGACACTATGAGCGACGACGTAAAACGACAAAACGACGAACGAAATCGTTCATTCGAGAAAAACTTTTTACCGAAACGACAAAATGGTAAATATAATATAATTTTCGCTCGTTCAATCGTTCATTTCATCAAACCCCATGAGGCATGAAGTATGAAGTATGAACTAAGATAACATTATCTAATATCTATTATATATAATATTATCTCGAACCGTCACTTGTTAGTTGTTCAAAATTAAAATGTTACCTATTGGCTTTTACCAAACTATAAAGCATATAGTTATTAATATTATATTATAATATTTTATATATTAAATACCGGTACTACATTCATTAGTAGGAGATATAATTAAATAATCTATTTTCTAATCAAATTCTGTCTATTTAAAAGGTCACAATCCATTATTCTAGGTCAGTATTTTACTTCAGAACTTTAACACATTACCTTAACCATTTTCAATATAAGGTACCTATTACAACAGGTATTTATATTTTGTAATTTGTAACTTAGTAGTAGTTTTCTATAATAATAAATAGGATTCTTGTAAGTATAAAACAAACAATTATAAATTAAAAAATATTTGATAATTAAAACAAAAAATAGATAAAACTGTGTAATAAAAACATTAAAAATGGGTAAAACTTTATGGGGTTTAACATAGGTAAAAATTAGGTAATACTTCATAGATAATACAATTAAATAAAAGTAATTAAAATATAACAAAATATTAATATTAACGTATATAAATAAAACAAATAGTAATAAGCTTGACTTGAGTATAGTAGGTAAAAATTAGGTAATTCTTCATAGATAATACAATTAAATAAAAATAATAAAAATATTAATATTAACATATATAAATAAAACAAATAGTAATAAGCTTGACTTGAGTATAGTTATTAGTAAATAGTTAAGTGCAATTAAAATATTAAAAAAATTGTATACATTCTTTTACAGATTTTGGTTTAAAAATAATACCTTGGAAGATTTTGAGGCTAGCATTCGATTTCTCCTCTCTGTTATCACTAAACCTGCTTTGCTAAAAAGCCTTTCGCATGGCACAGAGGTAGCAAGTATGCACAACCGTTTTTTTACTATTATAAATAAACGTGGATATAATAATTTGTGAGCTGTCCACTATTTTAACGGATCTTCATGTCGATTTATGAGTGGTTCATTCATATATTTGTCCAACTCAATGATGCCTGCTGCTGTTGGATTGACTCTTACATTATTTTGTGAGTATTGATCATCAAACATTTTCCAAACCAATGATGTGGAGGTGGAAGGAACAGAATTATTATTTGTACCTAAAACTGTCGTGGGGTTTTCTGTTTCAGTTATTGTCACTTGACAGACTTTTGCTTTGAGCTGATCCATGGCAATTTCTAATTTTCGGACATGGTATCCATCAAAAGCCAACTTCTTAAATCTCGGATCCAGAAGAGCTGCTTGTGTTACTATTTCATTGTCTTCATAGCCTCTGAATCTAGAATTTAATTTTTCTAAAAGAGTAGTGACCATTTTTTTTGTCATATCAGGTAAGCCCGTGTTCTTCTCAAATGACTCCATAGTTCCAACCATTACTCTTATAAAAATTAAAACTTTGGACATACTAACATACTTTTCACTGCTAATTTCTGTTGTTATTTCAGAAAATATTTTAAGTACCTCTGAGGAATTTTCAACAATCATTCACTCCGATACAGTGAGTGGTTCAACATCACACTGGAGTAGAGCCATTGTTGAAATAACAGCATCTTTTATTTGGATAATACGCTAAAACATATCTTGTGTACTGTTCCACCGTGTGACAACATCTTGCTTCAACTTTAATGGAGTCAAGCCCATTTGTTTTTGTGTTAACTGAAGTTTTGATAAAGCATGTGAACTTCTTTTAAAATATTCCACGATTGACTTCACTTTTTTCTGGACTTCACTTATTTCTTTCAACCCACTTTGTACAACTAAATTAATGCAATGAGCAAAACAGGGTACATGCCGAAAATTACATTTTTTTATAGCTCCTACAATATTGGGTGCATTATCGCTCACAACTGCTGTAATTTTATATTGGATGTTCCATTCCTCAACAGTATTCTTCAAATAATTAGACAAGTTATTTATTGTATGCTTGTCATCAAACATCTCACATCCTAGGCAAACGGACTGAAGCAAAGCATCTTCATTTATGAAATGTGCAGTTATGCCCATAAAACTTTCATTTTTGACTGACGTCCAACCATCCGTTGTCAAGCACACAGCAAAACAGTCTGTCATTAAAGTTTTAACGTGCTCTGGTGGTAGAGGTTAGGTATCAAGGTGTTGGAGATGGCTTTTCTGGATGGTAATGAATAACCACCGTTCAACATTTTTAACAAAGTTTTGAACTCTTCGTCTTCCACAATGTCAAATGGATAGTATCTAAAAGTAAACATAATTTTATTGATTTTTACAACTAAACTAAATAAATATATATTATATACTTACCCTTTAACAATCATTTTTGTTAGTTGATGGTCAATACGTTTTTGGTTGTTAACATTCAATGGCCTTGTTTGGTTAAAGTACGTCGATATTGAGGACTGTCCTTCTCGAGGACGGCGATATAAACCTTGTGGTCTGGAAGCAGTACTAGCTGCGGCACCATTATTGGATGTACTAGGTTGACTAATTGATGGTTCAGCTGGCTCTTCAATATTTTCTATATACAAATAAAAATAAATTATTATAAATTTTTAAAATCTTATATCTTAATACTGACCAACTATGAGATTTCTCTGATTTCTGTTTAATGGAATAGTAGAATGCACAGTTTTCAATTATTAAATTAATTTTTAATAAATTATTCATTGATCCTCCAGATATACTTAAGATGGAACTACAGTAATCACATTTTGCCTTTTGGTATTCATTCTGAGTGAAATGATTCCACATTTCACTACTCTTAACGCGATGTGGCGCCATACTGCTTTGGTAAGTTCCGAAACTTGATTATAATTAGGTTCAAATAAGATTTTGATATATAAAGCTTTTTATTTCATATGGGGGTAAGAAATTTGTATTGAATAAGTTTGTTAACTTTTAATGGTTAAATGTTTTAAGTTAGGAGGTAAGCACTTCTATTTTATTTTGGGAGTAATTAACACTAAATGAAGATTGATATAGTTTACGTTTAAAAACGTTTATGTTTGTGCAAATGCGCCCATTCATTAAGAGGATTCGATACCGTGATTTTTGTTTTTGTCCAACACACGCGCGACGTAGTATTTTAGACGTGTTTTTTGCAAAACATTTCAATTGATCTATTGAAGCTATAAGATTTCTGAAAACAGATTTGAATCTGTCGTCAAGTCTACATGAAATCGATTTTCCCACAGTCCCACTTTTCCCAAGTCGATTTCAAGTAGAGTCGACGACAAATTTAAGTCTGTTTTCAGAATTCCTATCGCTACATTAGATCAATTGGTGTTTGGCAAAAAATACGTCTAAAATAGTAAAATACTATGTCGCGTGTGTGTTAGACAAAAACAGAAAATCATGGTATCGAATCCCCTTAAGTATTAAATTTTTCAGTGTGTATACTTTTATAATTAGTTTATATTAAATTAACTTACCAATTTGCAGCGTCTTCTTTGGTGACTTCGATGAATTAAAATTTAAAATATTAAATAATAAACAATAATTGTATCTCAATCCGTAAAACAACAAATATTAAATATTTTACAATTAACACAAAATCAATAAACATAACACATTTATTAATAAAATAAAGGAGTACAAATAAATAACAATAATATGTTTTTCACTGCACGAAGCCGATAAACATACTGAATTAGGTACTGAACACTGAACAGTGAAACAATTTTTTTATTTCAATACTAATTAATTATTAAATGTCTTACCCCACTTAATAAAATGTAATAATATTGATTAAGAATATAGAATAAAACACCCTATGAACCTTTACCCTAATCTTGGTTTTTAACCAATAGAGCCGAAATAGGTATTGTAAGGGACTAGCCACAGTCCACAGGTGTCAGGTACCATTGTTATTTGTTATTAACAATGGATTTATGGATTTATAGATAGTGTCTACTTAGAATTTTGTAGAAAACCACAGATATCTGAGATATCGAACAATATAGTGGACCTCAGACAGTTGGTACGTTTTTTTATAATATTATAATAAATAAACTGAATAACCAGGTTCGCCCGCGTGCAGTTTTTTATACTAACTATTTAAATAATTATAGCAAATTCAATGACCAAGAAAATATAATTTTCGATCAATTTTTCCATTTCTACCCCTTTTAACCCATGTTGTGGTTGAATTTTCGAAAAATCCTTTCTTAGTGGGTGTCTACATCACAAAACGAAACTTATATATTATCTGAAATACAGTAAATCTTGCTTAAGGCGCTGTTTCCCAACGTACCTTTTTTCAATTCCCACATACGACGCTTTCCCGCTCTAGAGTCTAGAGAGCTGGTTCCTTGAAGAGCGTCTTAAGCTAGTTTTAATGTATATTGTATATTTACTGTTTATTATGTATATTGTATATTTGTATAATATAGGTCCCTAAAATAATATGCCCCCGGGGCAAAAATTATCTTAACCCGAGCTTGGTTAAAGCTTGTATACATGGTATAGAGACTATAACAATTAAATTCAAATATTTTTGAATATATTTTGATACTACTAAAGACCTTAAAAAAATATATATAAATAAATAAAAAGTACAGAGAGTACTATTTGTCAAATGTGGGCATTAACTTGTTAAAAAGTTAAAGTTAAGTTAAAAAGTTAATTTTTTACACAGTGTTAAATATCTTGGTAAATGTTTGTGTATAACAAAGTACTGAATCACGGACGATTCGCCCCCGCCATTTCGTCCCCTAATAAAAATAAGCTCACGGACGTTTCGTCCCCATCTATTATTAAGGTAGGACATTAATTGGTCGCCGGGAGTTCATATTATCGACGTTGTCGTCTTCGTCCCGGGGGCAAAATGTCCTGTCACAATAATAGACGGGGACGAAACGTCCGTGGACTCGCTTTTTTGAAGGGGACGAAACGTCCTTTTACCTAAAATACTATGGTGGCTTATGACTTAAAAATATTCTACCTTCAAAAAAATTAACTTTTTTTTAACTGAGATAAGTTAATTTTATTTTCTATCTTAACTTTTAACTTAACTGAAGGCAATTTAATTGAATTAACTTAACTTTCAACAGTTAATTATTTTCATTAACATGCCCACCATTGCTATTCGTATGGGACATGGGTTATGTACGTATTCTTTCAATGAACTAGTTCAATTAAGCAAGTGAACGACGAACGATGAACTATACGTATTCGTTCAATTGCATGATGAACGATGAACTATACGTATTCGTTCAATTGCATGATGAACGATGAACTATACGTATTCGTTCAATTGCATGATGAACGATGAACTATACGTATTCGTTCAATTGCATGATGAACGATGAACTATACGTAGGACAGGTATATAATACGTATCGTTCAGTTCGTCCGTACAGTATATGTTTAGACGTATCGTTCAATGAACTATAGTCGGGGCCAAACGAATGTGCGGTTGGTGGCTCCGCCCACTAGGCGATATCACACTGAATAGTGAGTAACAGCTGCTGGCGGTATATTTGAAAATAAAGTAACCACGCTATTCATGTGTGAACGTTACCTAAAACTATGAGTTCTAATTAGTCGCCGGCAAAAGTAGGCGGAGCCACCAACCGCACATTCGTTTGGCCCCGACTCTAGATCAATTAAGTGAACGATGAACGAAGGAACTAGTTCACCTAAGTGAACGATAAATCCCATCTCTACAGGACATACACGAAAGGTTTATCTGTCGGATTTGTCCCTTATCCGACCAAATCGCTCAAGTTGATATGTACGTATATGTGATAAAAATATCACAGACCGCGATCAAACGTTATCGCTAAAGATATTTTTAGAAGATAAATATTGTTATTTGACTTGTACATGTACGGACGGTCACAGTCTACAGTCCACAGTTTTAGTTGTAAACATTAACCACACGTGACTAGTGGTATCGTTGATTTTTATAATTTTTTTAAAATTAAAATTTGATTTGAGCTTTATTTCTCTTTTACCTATATCTCCTCTGCTATGTCTTCTTCTGAGTGGAGTAAGGAGTTTCTCATAGATTTTATTAATTGCTATAAACAAAATAATTGTTTATAGCAATTGAAAAGTAAAGATTATACAAACCGAAACTTAAAAAATAGAGCATACGTACGTCTCGTGGAGTTAGTACAACCACATTTCCCTTCAGCTAACACAGATTTTGTAAAAAGTAAAATACAAAACCTAAGAAACGCGTAGGAAGGAGATGAAAAAAGCTGAAGCATCAAAAAGAAGTGGCAGATCCACGGACGAAATTTACGAGCCAACTTTATAGTAAATTTAAAACTATTTCATAAATTATTATCATTCATATGGGTATAAAGATGATTTTTTTTTATAATTGTTGAGAGTTCAAATATTTTCGAAATTCATCAAAATTACAAATATTTATAAGTTATTTTGTAGTTAAAAATTCATAAAATTTTTAATATTTATCTATATATCTTTATATATTTATATACTATACTCAGCTTTTTCATGATAAAAGGTGATGAGCTAGTTATTATGCCCTTTACTCTGGCTATACCATACTACTTTTTCGTATTATACAGGTATTATGACTATCTTTTATTCACCAAAGATCAAGATACTCCACTAAGCAGTGTTAGTAATTTATCGCCTGAAATGTTTAATGAAGATAATGAAAATAACGAATTTGATAGTTATTATGTAAACAGCTCTATTGGTATTGGTGAAAATTCAATTGAACCTACAAATGAACAAGTATGTTTTACATTAAATAATAATAATTATTATTGTTAAATTTATATTAACTCTCACACCTCGTAGATTGGTCCGATTTCCGTAATTATTTTTTTGTTAGATAGAAGAATATTTTTTACAGGGCGCATTGGACTTTGATTTTTGATTACGTTGCTAAAAATAAATAATAATACAAAAACTAAAAAGTTGTAAAAATTGATTAAATTCAAACTTGTAATATAAGATTTCGAAAAATAATTTTGAAAATCCAAGTCCAATGCGCCCTGCAATACGTCTTTCTCTATTTGACAAAAAAAAATTACGGAAATCGGACCAATCAACAAGGCGTGAGAGTTTTTCCTGTAAGGCATGTTTTTGAGCAAAAAAACAGGTCGCGACCAGGCCCCTTAAAAAGAAAATTATGTTTTATTTTATTTGATGATTTAAGTTGTTTTTGTTTTAGTTTGTTTACATGACATATTATTTTTACCATGTACAAGATAAATAATTTTATGAATTTTGATATGTTGATTTTTTGATATGTTTTCTCGGTAACTTAATAATAATTATAATAATAAATATTAAATATTTTACCTTCATGTATTTATCTTTTAAAACATCATATAAAGCCAAACAAGTTTCTGGTATTATATGCCCCAATGTTTGGGCAGCTATTTTGGTAGAAAATTTTAAATCTTCGCAACTATTACCAGTTTATAAAAACCGAAGTGTAGCTATCAGACGTTCTGCAGGAGAAATAGATTTTCGCATAACAGTATCTTGTTTTTTCAAACGATGTGCAACTAACTCTATAGTACAATTATTATAAAATAATATAAACGTATTATTTACAAATATATAAAATTTTTCAAGTACTTATCATAAACACCAGTAAATTATTAATTATTTAGTAATTTTTATTTATTTACTGGTAGTCACAATAGTCACTTATACATATATACATAGCTATATCAGATTTAATTACTTACCTAGTAAATTAGTAAAATCTGTATCATCCATTCTTAAATAATTTTTAAAGTCGTCTGGATTTTTTTTTTTAAATCCTTTAGTAGAGACTAGAGTTACAT